GCCGCCTGCCTCAACAACACCTTTCTGGCCTACCTGACCTACTACTCTCTCACCTGCCGCCTGCCTCAACACCTTTCTGGACCTGACTACTCTCTCACCTGCCGCCTGCCTCAAACACCTTTCTGGACCTGACTACTTCTCTCATCTGATGGACCTGCCTCAAACACCTTTCTGGACCTGACTACTCTCTCTCACCTGCCGCCTGCCTCAACACCTTTCTGGACCTGACTACTCTCTCACCTGCCGCCTGCCTCAACACCTTTCTGGACCTGACCTGAACTACTCTCTCACCTGCCGCCTGCCTCAACACCTTTCTGGACCTGACTACTCTCTCACCTGCTGCCTGCCTCAACACCTTTCTGGACCTGACTACTCTCATCATCTGATGCCTGCCTCAACACCTTTCTGGACCTGATTACTCTCTCACCTGCCGCCTGCCTCAACACCTTTCTGGACCTGACTACTCTCTCACCTGCCGCCTGCCTCAACACCTTTCTGGACCTGACTACTCTCTCACCGCCTGCCGCCTGCCTCTCAACAACACCTTTCTGGACCTGACTACTCTCTCACCTGCCGCTGCCTCAACACCTTTCTGGACCTGACTACTCTCTCACCTGCCGCCTGCCTCAACACCTTTCTGGACCTGACTACTCTCTCATCTGATGCCTGCCTCAACACCTTTCTGGACCTGACTACTCTCTCACCTGCCGCCTGCCTCAACACACCTTTCTGGACCTAACTATTCTCTCGCCTGCTGCCTGCCCCAACATCTGTCTGGACCTGACTACTCTTTCATCTGCCACCTGCCAAGACGATAGTTTAACATGACCTTCATCTTATCTGCAGCCCTGCGGACAGTCTCTCTGCGCGTTAGGCTTTGCTTTCCAGCCACCCTCTGGGTGGGGTGATCCCAAGGGCCACGACCGAGAGCTGGTTTGCAGCAAAGAAACTCAGGATTACTAGGGTTCTTGGCCCATCTACCCCATCAGGAGCTCTAATGAAGACCAGCTGACACATAGACTCCATGTTTCTAGTGAAGACCAACAGACACAAATACTCCTTGCCTCTGGGTAAGACCAGCTGATACATAGACTTCTTGCCTCTGGTGAAGACCAACTGACACATGGACTTGGTGAAGATCAAATTACACATTGGGGTTGAGTTGCTAAAAACAAGAGAGTGCAAAATCTGGTGTAGCTCTGCATAGAAACCATTCCACTTACAGTGTTTTTTGTCAAAGATTAATTAAACAAGCTGAAATTAGAAGCTGACTGGCTACCGTGCAAAAGCTGCACCAGATTTTGCACTCTCGTGTTTTAGTAAATCAACCCCATAGAAATCATACCTCTGAAGATTCATATTTAGAATACTTTAGTAATCCCAAAGGGAAATGATTAAACTGACCCATGAACTTTGTGCCTCTGATGAAGACCAACTGATATATAGACTCCTTGCCTCTGGTGAAGACTAACTGACAAATAAAATCTGTGTCTTTCATGAAGACCAACTGATATTATATATATAGACTCCTTGCCACTGGTGAAGAACAGCTGACAAATAGACTTTATGCCTCTGATGAAGACCAACTGATCCATAAACTCTGTGCCTTTGGTGAAGGCCAGCTTGGTGAAGATCAAATTACACATTGGGGTTGAGTTGCTAGAACAGGAGAGTGCAAAATCTGGTGCAGCTCTGCATAGAAACCAATCAGCTACCAGTTTTTTTTTTTTGTCAAAGCTTAATTAAACAAGATAAAGTTAGAAGCTGATTTGCTACCATGCACAGCTGCACCAGATTTTGCACTCTTATGTGTTAGGAAATCAACCCCATAAAATCCATGCCTCTGGTGAAGACCAACTGATATATAGACTACATGCCTCTGGTGAAGACCAACTGACACAGAGATTCTGTGCCTTTGCTGATCGCCAGCTGATATGTATATATAGACTCCTTGCCTCTGCTGAAGACTAACTGACACATAGACTCCATGCTTCTGGTGAAAACCAACTCACACATAAACTCCATGCCTCTGGTGAAGACCAGCTGACACATAAACTCTTTGCCTCTGGTGAAGACCAGCTGACACATAAACTCTTTGCCTCTGGTGAAGACCAACTAACACATCGGGGTTTATTTACTAAAGCTGGAGAGTCCAAAATCAGACTCCCTTCTGCATAGAAACCAATCAGCTTTCAGGTTTCATTGCCAAAGCTTCATTGAACAAGCTGAGGTTAGAAGCTGATTGGTTTTCTATGCAGAAGGGAGTCTGATTTTGGACTCTCCAGCTTTAGTAAATAAACCCCATAGACTCCTTGCCTCTGGTGAAGACCAACTGACACATAGACTCCTTGCCTCTGGTGAAGACCATCTGACACATAGACTCCTTGCCTCTGGTGAAGACCAACTGACACATAGACGTCATGCTTCTGGTGAAGACCTGCTGACACATAGACTCCTTGCCTCTGGTGAAGACCATCTGACACATAGACTCCTTGCCTCTGGTGAAGACCAACTGACACATAGACGTCATGCTTCTGGTGAAGACCTGCTGACACATAGACTCCTTGCCTCTGGTGAAGACCTGCTGACACATAGACTCCTTGCCTCTGGTGAAGACCATCTGACACATAGACTCCTTGCCTCTGGTGAAGACCATCTGACACATAGACTCCTTGCCTCTGGTGAAGACCAGATTACACATAAACTCCATGCTTCTGGTGAAGACCATCTGACACGTAGACTCCTTGCTTCTGGTGAAGACCAACTGACACATAGACTTACAGAAAGAACTTCAGGAGCCAAAAGCAGTAAAGTGAAATCTCACTATTTGTTAAAATCAAACAGGGTCTCCGCTCTCTTTCTCTCTCTTACTATTTTTCTTTTTTTTCTCTCTCTATATATATCTATAGATATATAATTTAAAAAATGCCCCTCTAACACCTTTACATTAATTAGGCTTGGTTGGCTAATAGCTATGGAAGAGCTGGAGATTGATTCCAAGAAAGGTTAAATAGAAGGCACTGTGCAATCTGTTGGTGGATGAGATTGGCTCGTTCCATACTTAACAGAGGAAGCATGGAGGAGGTGTCGCTTGCCTCAAAACCTCATCCAGCTCTTTAGCAGAGGATGTGTTGATAAGGGGCTCCCTGGGGGCCATTAATATAGTACAGAGCTGAGAGCGCACCCCACATCAGCACATTGACAAGTATCACTTTGTAATGATAACTCTGTAATAAGAACCTTGAACCAGTGATCCCAGGGCCTGATACCGGGAGTGGAGGGGACTCAGAGTGTCTCTGGTTCCTGTAAATTATCTCTTGTTTTCGCACTTTTCTCTCTCTGAAAGGGGCTGTCCCTTTCCTAAAAGCTTCACTGGAAGAATGGTGTCTCCAAAGGGCTCTCACAATCTTGTCCCTTCATCTCTGAGGTGACGAAATCCATTAATTGGGCGAGAAGATGCGGAAGTCAATTCAGCAGACCGTGGAGGGTGAGGAAAGTTTGCCCTTTGTAACATTGCACGTTACTTGGGAAAGTATCTTAAAGCGAAGCTTCTCCATGTTTTGTCACAAAAAAATTAGAAAAAGACAAATATGATAGAATGGGAGCAAACTGGTCAATAAAGTCTTGACCAGTCCTACATCCAATGCCTTGAACTTGGGCTTTAGTTTCAGACCAGACTGTCTTCACCGTTTACTTGTTTATTTATTTAGATCTTTGCCTAAAAAAATACAAATATTTAGCATGGAGTCCATATGAAAAAGACCCGAAGCATGTGGCCCCTCTGTCGATATCAGGGCATTTGCTCCCCAGTAATGGATCAGCGGAAGGGACACAAAGAACAAAATATCTTCGCACCTCCAAAAGGCACCAACCTGCCACTGAACTTTTCTATACTGCTTGTTGGAGGTGCCAATTTCAGTGCTCGGTGTGAGGAATTCTACCGTATACTCCGTATACTCGTGGCAAACTGCAACTTACCTTTGACATAAAGACTTAAAAAAAAAAGGGTCCAAGTCATGGGCTGCAAATGTCAACTGCAAATCAGACTTTAACAGGAAGTACTGATGAGGCTCTATAAAATGAACAGTAGCCGCTGTGTCTCAGCAATACATGCGCACCCTTCATCAGGGCTAAAGAACGCATAAAAAGGGTTGTAAGACCAGTGAAAAAGATAGAAAATAAAAATGTAATATGATAAATAAATATAAAATCGCCAGTTTATATAGAAACATACATTATACGAGGAGAGTTTTCATTTCCCAGGAGTAAAAAGGAATGCTAGCGTGGCGGTACTACACACAGTAGTAAGTGGCAAGTGTGTCCTATTACTGATAGGCAGCGCACATATCATGGGCCAGTCCAGAGACCGTGAATCAAAATGGCAGACAACAGTGTTAGTGCGTGCATGGAACAGCGTGTGGTAATGACATTTCTTGTGAACAAAGGCTCACTCCAGATAACACGTCTCCACTTCTCTAGAGTCCAGTGGTGGCGTGCTTTACACCACGGCATCCGACGCTTTGCATTGCACTTGGTGATGGAAGGCTTGGATGCAGCAGGCCATGGAAACCCATTCCATGAAGCTCTCTACACACTGTTGTTGGGCTCATCTGAAGGCCACACCAAGTTTGGAGGTCTTTAGCTATTGACTCTGCAGACAGTTGGCGACTTCTGCGCACTGTGCGCTTCAGCATGCGCTGACCCCGCCCTGTCATGTGACGTGGCCTACCACTTGGTGGCTGAGTGGCTGTTGTTCCCAGTGGCTTCCACTTTGTTATAATCCCACTAACAGTTGATCATGGAATATTTAGTAGCCAGGAAATGTCACGGATGGACTTATTGCCCAGGTGGCCACCTATCACGGGACCACGCTTGGAGTCACTGAGCTCCTGAGAGCGACCCATTCTTTCACCAATGTTTGTAGAAGCCGTCTGCATGCCTAGGGGCTAGGGTGTCCATGGAGGGATTGGAACTTGATTGTAGGGGATACACCTGTGTCCATGATTGGATGGAGGGGATTGGAGCACCCGAATCACATGATATGGAGGGGATTGGAACACCTGAATCACATGATAGGAGGGGATTGGAACACTGAATCACATGATATGAAGGGGATTGGAACACCTGAATCACATGATATGGAGGGGATTGGAACAACTGAATCACATGATTGGAGGGGATTGGAACACCTGAATCACATGATTGGAGGAGATTGGAACACCTGAATCACATGATTGGAGGAGATTGGAACACCTGAATCACATGATTGGGAGGGGATTGGAACACCTGAATCACGTGATTGGGAGGGGATTGGAACACCTGAATCACATGATTGGAGGGGATTGGAACACTTGAATCACATGATATGGAGGGGATTGGAACACCTGAATCACATGATTGGAGGGGATTGGAACAACACTTGAATCACATGATATGGAGGGGATTGGAACACCGGAATCACATGATATCGAGGGGATTGGAACACCTGAATCACATGATTGGGAGGGCTGGCTCAATATATTTACAGTAGCAATATACAGTGAAGGAAATGTGTATTTGCTCCCCGGCTGATGCTGAATGTTCGCCCCTTCGCCAATGGAATGTTCGCCCCTCACACAGAAATGATCGGTCTAACAATGAATGTTCGCCCCTCACACAGAAATGATCGGTCTAACAATGGAATGTTCGCCCCTCACACAGAAATGATCGGTCTAACAATGGAATGTTCGGTGTAACACTGAGAGACAGAATACAACAACAAATTCAGCAGAAATGTGTCTAACAAATGATGACTGATCTGCATGTTCATGAGGGAAAGAAGGATTTGATCCCCATCATTCAGCAGGATTTCTGGCTCCCAGGTGTCTTTCATACAGGTAACACAATGAGATTAGAAGCAGTCTCTTAAAGGGAGTGCTGCTAATGGCTCAAGAAGAACCACATTAAGGTCCTGGAGTGGCCTAGCCAGTCTACAGACCTTCTTCCGACTGAAAATCTGTGGAGGAGCTGAAAGTTCAAGTTGCCAAACGTCAGCCACCAAACCTTAATGACTTGGAGAGGATCTGCCATGAGGAGTGGGCCAAAATCCCTCCTGAGATGTGTGCGAACCTGGGGGCCAACTCCAGGAAACATCTGACCTCTGTGATTGCCAACAAGGGATTGGCCACCAAGTACGAAGTCATGTTTTGTGAAGGGGATCAAATCCTTCTTTCCCTCATGAACATGCAGATCATTCATCATTTGTTAGACGCATTTCTGCTGAATTTGTTGTTGTATTCTGTCTCTCAGTGTTACACCGAACATTCCATTGTTAGACCGATCGTTTCTGTGTGAGGGGCGAACATTCCATTGTTAGACCGATCGTTTCTGTGTGAGGGGCGAACATTCCATTGTTAGACCGATCGTTTCTGTGTGAGGGGCGAACATTCCATTGTTAGACCGACGTTTCTGTGTGAGGGGCGAACATTCCATTGTTTCCGATCGTTTCTGTGTGAGGGGCGAATATTCCATTGTTAGACCGATCGTTTCTGTGTGAGGGGCGAACATTCAGCATCAGGGGGAGCAAATACACATTTCCTTCACTGTAGATGCCTTTTTGTTAAGGAGTCCCGCCCGCTTCTATTGCGGCTTGGCACGGATCATCAAATTCAGGCACGGGCATTTAAGCATCTCTGAGACGAGACTGACTATTCCACATTCCAAGGGTTCCTTTGGGGTAAAAAAGGTGAGAAATGTTGTCCTGAGCCATGAGGGAGTCATCAATATTTGTATTTTTTTTCATGAAAGTGGTGAAAATTACTTTTGTACAGGGCTGCTGTTAGAAACCACGGGGCCCCATACAGCCAACCTAACAGGGCACCCCTAAACCCCCCCCCCAAAAAAAAACACAGTTTAATATGCTTCAGTTACGAATGAACACAATGAGAGATATGTACTCATCACTTGTTGTGTTCATTCATAAGTGAAGCATAGTAAACTGAGTTTATTTGGGGGAGGGGAGGGGGGGCCCTGTCAGGTTGACCTCCTTGTAGGTTTAATATTTGATTACATAATGACTGATACAGACAACAAATGTAACAATATTAGAAAATGTAACAAGAATACTTAACTGTAGATGCCTTTTGTTAAGGAGTCCCGCCCGCTTCTATTGCGGCTTGGCACAGACGATCAAATTCAGGCACGGGCATTTAAGCAGCCCTGAGACGAGACTGACTAGTCCACATTCCAAGGGTTCCTTTGGGGTAAAAAGGTGAGAAATGTTGTCCTGAGCCATGGGGGAGTCATCAATATTTGTTTTTTTTTTCATGAAAGTGGTAAAAAGTACTCTTGTACAGGGCTGCTGTTAGAAACCACGGGGCCCCATACAGCCCACCTGACAGGGTCTCCCTCAAAAAAAAAAAAACACTGTTTACTATGCTTCAGTTGCAAATGAACACGATGAGTGATATGTACTGATCATTCACTGTGTTCATTCATAAATGAAGCGTAATAAACTGTGTTTTTTTTTGGGGGGGGGAGGGATGGGTCAGGTTAGCTGTATGGGGCTCCGTGGATTCTAACAACAGCTCTGGATGTTGCAGAAGTGCCTGTAGTCTGGAAATGGCTGCAAAGAGGCTGCAGGAGATCTGCAGCACCGAGATGCAACAAAGGATGGAAAAAGGTAAAACAAAGTATTTTATTACAACAAAATAAAATGTTAATGACACGGAGCACAGAGAAAATGAATTGTCACCCGGTTCAGGATTACATCTACTTTCAGAATAGCCGTGCGTTATCGGAACTCGATCCGGAATCCGAATCGGGCTTTTAAAGGTATCAGAGTTTGATCGGAGTCTCAGCTTACAATCCCGTCCCATACACCTCCCTCTGTGTAATCCAATGCCCTGCTGAACCTTTAAAGGCCATCGTCTTCTCATACGGAAAAGTGTCAGATTATTATTAATGGTTTGCACTTCCATCTCCGAATATCAGGACTATTATGTATATATCTATATATGGATCATTACTAATGTGGGAGCTCAAAGCTGAACCCCAACAAGTAAAAATCAACAGCCTATTCACAAATACAATTTAAAAAAAAAAAAACAGCGTTTGCTGCAATATTCACTTTCAAACCAGGTTCCTCCTGCAGTACTTCTTTCCCCCACAAGATGTCCCCATTCTGATGGTCAGCATCATTCACCCCACTTTCTCTAAACCCAGGTTATCCTGACAGCTGGACTCTCTCCCACCAACTTCCTCCTCCAGTGAGCTTCTCCAGACCCAACTTAGTCCCTGGACTCTCTCCCCGCCAACTTCCTCCACCGGTGAACTTCTCCAGACCCAACTTAATTCCTGGACTCTCTCCCCACCAACTTCCTCCTCCAGTGAGCTTCTCCACAACCAACTTATTCCTTGGGACTCTCTCCCGCCAACTTCTTTGAGCTTCTCCAGACCCAACTTAATCCCTGGACTCTCTCCCGCCAACTTCTCCTCCGCCAACTTCCTCCTCCAGTGAGCTTCTCCAGACCCAACTTAATCCCTGGACTTTCTCCCCGCCAACTTCCTCCTCCAGTGAGCTTCTCCAGACCCAACTTAATCCCTGGACTCTCTCCCGCCAACTTCCTCCTGCAGTGAGCTTCTCCAGACCCAACTTAATTCCCTGGACTCTCTCCCACCAACTTCCTCCTCCAGTGAGCTTCTCCAGACCCAACTTAATTCCTGGACTCTCTCCCGCCAACTTCTCCTCCAGTGAGCTTCTCCAGACCCAACTTAATTCCTGGACTCTCTCCCGCCAACTTCTCCTCCAGTGAGCTTCTCCAGACCCAACTTAATTCCTTAGACTCTCTTCAGCCAACTTCCTCCTCCAGTGAGCTTCTCCAGACCCAACTTAATTCCTGACTCTCTCCAGCCAACTTCCTCCTCCAGTGAGCTTCTCCAGACCCAACTTAATCCCTGGACTTTTCTCCCGCCAACTTCCTCCTCAGTGAGCTTCTCCAGACCCAACTTAATCCCTGAACTCTCTCCAGCCAACTTCCTCCTGCAGTGAGCTTCTCCAGACCCAACTTAATCCTTGAACTCTCTTCAGCCAACTTCCTCCTCCAGTGAGCTTCTCCAGACCCAACTTAATCCTTAGACTCTCTTCAGCCAACTTCCTCCTCCAGTGAGCTTCTCCAGACCCAACTTAATCCCTGGACTTTCTCCTGCCAACGTCCTCCTCCAGTGAGCTTCTCCAGACCCAACTTAATCCTTAGACTCTCTTCAGCCAACTTCCTCCTCCAGTGAGCTTCTCCAGACCCAACTTAATCCCTGGACTTTCTCCTACCAACTTCCTCCTCCAGTGAGCTTCTCCAGACCCAACTTAATCCCTGGACTTTCTCCTCCCGCCAACTTCCTCCTCCAGTGGTCTTCTCCAGACCCAACTTATGCTAAAAAAGCTAAAAAAAAAGCTGAAAAACTCTGGTTTTGAATGTGACTTTCCACAGCTATAGTTACCAGTGTTATCAAAACGCCCCCCCCCCCCCAGTGTGCATGGTGTCTAAATCCCTGGACTTTGACTTGTGAATAGCACCCCCCCCCCCCCCCCCACAAGCTAAGCCTAGCCAGGACCTCAGTGTCTTCCTAAAGGCTTTGCGCAGGCCATACACGGGTCGAATTCCAAACAAATTTTCTTTTTAGAAAATAGGAAATTTTGTGTGTTTTGTAACCCGATAACGCCTCCATTGAATTCGAAATATACTTTATGTTGTTATACGATGTGCATTATATATTGTGTGTATTGTATTATTTGTAGTGTATGTATTATGTATACTTGTATTACATGTTGTTATACTACGTGCAATTTATATTACATGAATTTATATTATATTTATTATATTATTAATATTTATTTTATGTATTATTACATTAATGTATTTATACTATAGGTATTATATTATTGATATTTAAATGATGTGTTGTTTTACTATGTGATATTTATATTTTATGTATTTATTTATATTTATTATATTATTAATATTTATGTTATTATTATTAATGGTATTTATACTATAGTATTATATTATTGATATTTAAATGATGTGTTTTTTTTACTATGTGATATTTATATTTTATGTTTTTATTTTATTATACTTACTCTATTATTAATATTTATATTATTTTTATTTATATTACTGGTATTTAAATGATGTGTATTTATACTATGTGCTATTTATATTTTATTTTTTTTATTATATTTATTATATTATTAATATTTTTTATTTGGTATTATATTAATGTTTTATTTTATACTATTTAGGTATTATTTATTGATATTTAAATTATTTTTTGTTTTTATATGCTATTTATATTTTATGTATTTATAATATATGCATTATATATATTTTTTTTTTTTATGTGCTATTTATTTTATATTTATTTTTATTATATGCATTTATATATTTTATTATGTGCTATTTTATTTTTTTTTTTTATATTATATGCATCATATATTTTTTTATTATGTGCTATTTATATTATTAGTGTTTTTTATTTTTACATTT